AATTTTAGGCAATCGGTCGGTTTTAGTTGCGTTCGTTATTGAACCTAATCCTCAGCTAGCCGTATAGCTCACCTACGCAAACCGCAATGGCGCTAATTTTCCCTGGACAATTTGGTGGCTTTCGATTACGCCCAACAACTTTATAAATCAACTATCCCGTTTCCTTTTATAATCAAAAAGCTCATTAACAAATGTTAGGTAATCAGTCGGTTTTTGTTGTGTTCTTTCTTGAACCCAATCTTCGCCTGGCCGTATAGCTGACATCCACAAAACGTTAATTTCCACGTTTTTTCTAATATCTAGCAGGTGGAAAAAAACAACAATAAACGTTGTATATAAAACAGAGGGCAGTTCTTTTCTGATATAAATAAAGCGTGGGGCAGGCGTCTTGCATGCATCTCTTTTTTTTTTTTTTTTTCCGGCCTATGAAAACAAATTTCGGGACATTCGAAATTGAGTTTATGGTGGGGCGGGCGCTTTATCACGGGGCATTTTGTTATGTTTCATAAGCTTCATTACTAGTCAGGACGAAGCCACGCGAGCCGTATCACGTCGCAAACAGCTAATCGGGTGTTTCTCAAGCAGCTCTAGAACTTTCCAATTGACATTTCGGTTCTTAATACATCTAAAAAAGTTTGGTACTTAGTCCTAAACATTTAATTTATTAGGCATAATTAAAATACTGCAACTCTCGCAAGGCGTCTGCCCAAAACATAAAGTTGGTTCATTGGCGTAAAGTGGCTGCGTCTTTCATTTTTATGCTTGGTCTTTAAAGATTCGTGAAAAGCATTCGCGACCTTATCTGTCAAGCCGCGTACGCGGACAGCGCGGCCTCCTCGGCAAGTTCTTCCCTCATCGAAGACGACAATGAATAAAAGGTACGATCAAAATCTTAAATCCTGAAGAAAGCGCAAGTTTAAAATAATTCTAAGGGTGTCAGTTGATTTTATTTCTATTATATTCAAATTTCAACACTCGTCGCGGGCAGCATGAAAGGAAGCACTGCACTCTTGGCGCAAACCAGTGCGCAGTCAACGGTACTACACTCAAACACGCATCACCACCTGACCTGTTTGAAAAATAAATAATTTCCAGTACTTTTGGTAGAAAAGGCGAATTTTCTACTGAGCGTGATATTTTGTGGACCCAAAAGTCCTGTAGCCGAGATCGGTAGTTCATAGCTTCAGGAAGACGAAGAACGACGGATGCATTATTTCCCACGGAAGTACTGTTTTGACTTTGAATTCCACATAAAATTGTATATGCACTAATTGGTGGCACGATACCGAACTTGCTTGATTACTTTTCTTTTAAAGACAACATAAACAGGCATAATCTACAGATATTGCAGAATTCATTTTAATTGGCGTACAGCGCGAAAGACAAGTATGGACATAAAGAACACAATAGAGCTCTGCATTTCTATCGCATTTCTTTCCGTACTTGTGGACAGTCAGTCCGCATGACTATATTCAAAAACTGCCAAATCGTTTAAGCCTACCCCTTTTTATAGTTTTTTTTTTTCGTAGATGAATTGTGGCGAATCCCGGCTGGGTTCGGGTAAAGACCTCGCACGTGTTCAAGGACACATTTCGGCTTGAGTTCCCGCTTGGTGACGACGTTGAGCTGACCGCTGTTCCGCTTCTTTTCTAAGTAGGCGGGAAACGCCAGACGCCTAAATTAGCCAAGCAGCCCCAAAACTTGCGGTAGCACACCTTCCGAACCCCTGGGTTTTTTTGGAGATGGCCTTCACCCACCCTGACAAAGCCCAAAACAATTATGTAAGGGCTGCAGAGGCTATCTGGGCATTCCATTTCTTCATCAGCGAACAAATGTGAAAAGAAGAGAATGAAAACTTCGTAATACCTGCTGTTTTTTAATAAATGGCATAATATGCTACTATTGCTAGTTGCACCATTCTACGCGAAGAAAATTGTGATTTTTCGGTTCAATCTCCGTGTTTCCCGTTCTCTTTGCTGATACGCAAGATATTTGTCGGGTGTCAAGTTTTCAGTTACATTTGTTGACAGAAACTAAATGCACGTTTGGCCACGAAGAAATTTTTTTTTCAAAGGCTGAAGATAGATGAAATATACCATAAACCGTTTCAGTTTTTATGTAAGTTTGTTTTTACTCTTCTTGGTAGCTTCAACGAGGCGGCCGTCACTCTAGAAAACACCTGTAGTACGAAGCTATATATTATGCCCCAGAAATGGTCAGACTGTGTCCCTCTGACTGCAATACCTTTGACTTGTAATTACTTATGATTATTAGTTTGTACACAAAACAAAAAAAAAAACAATACAAAAACACAATAGTGATAAAATCACTCTTCAGTGTGCCGTTGTTAGAACGACAAATTTTCAACTCTCTGGGTAGAGCTCAAAGTTCGGATAAAAATACCCATCTTTTTTCCTTCTGCTGTGATGTTCAATTTTCGTTCACTCGAGATAAATATGCGGTGTTGTAGCGTGTGTGGCCGCATGCGGAAGTATCTGAATGTAAAAGAACTTGTTGTTGGGCTAGTTGGTGTTGACTATCTGAGTGTTTTTTAGAACTGCAGAAAAAGAGAAAAAAAAAAAAAGAAAAAGAAGAAAAGCGAGCCAGCCCGAACCCTTCCGAGCTCATATTCAGCCTGCCCAACTAATCCCTGGTGTTTGGGATTGAAGCAGTGAACCTTGAAGGGTTACAGAGATTTTGTCGGGGGGCCGGTAAGCCCATTAGCACTCGTGCGAGAAGGCCGTAAAAAGCGAAGAGGAAAATGGAGGAGGAAAGGGGAGGAGGAAAAAAAGAGAAGAGGGGGAATCTTCTGCCACGCTGAAGAAAATTTTGAGCGCCCGCCTTTAACGGAAGTAAAGAATCTTTCGAGCAGTTTAGCTAGCTAAGGTAAGAAAAAAAATATTGTTAAGCTCAAACTAAGAGTAATTGTAAAGAAACATGTGCAAAAAAAAATGAGCTCATAGGAAGAGCGGGGCGCAGTGTTGTACGGAACGGCGTTCCAAGAAACGACGTTCCTTTTAGGGACAAAGGCTCCGTTCCATCTGGCATCGTTGGAAATGGAATGGGAGCTCGTTACGTTTTCCAGGAAACGACAAAAAAAACAACGTTCCTCTTTTTTCTTTTTTTTTCGTCCACTACTTTAATTTCCGGCTTCAAAAGGTGCGGACTTGTCCGAATGATAGCTGAAAACAAAGAACTGGAACAAACGTGATCCTCGCGACACGACACGTAGTTCGATGTGAATGTTTTCCCTCGCTCGCTTTATATTATCTACGGATTATCCGGCACAATATATCACTAAAATACGCGAAAGCCAACGTTAATGTAACGGCACGTGTCAATTTCTCAGAAACGTGACGGGAACGCGTTCCTTCCGAACCACTGGAACCCGTAACAAGAACTCGTTCCAGGACTGAGAAAGACCGAAGAAGGAGCTTTGGTTCCTCTTCCTCTTCACCGCAGGCTCAGCGCAGTTTGAAACTCCGCTCAGTGTTGTACACGCGTGTACAACACTGAGCGGAGTTTTAAACTGTGCTGAGCCTGCGGTGACAAAATGCAGACACGAACGCCGTGACTCATTTACGCGCTTTCGCAGTTCGGAAAAATATAATGGGGCATAGAGTTGTACTGCGATGCGACAGCTTACCGGAAGTTGTCCCTCATGGGAATTTTGCGAACCGGCGTTATATTCGTAGAACCTTTAAGCAGTTATTTTCATTTATAAAAAGAAAAGAAAAAAATTGGGTTCGAAACCGCGCCTCCCCATATTTTTTTTTTTTTCTTTAAGGCAAACGAATTACTTTATAAAGTGAAATCATTTGAGACATACGGCGATTTATGATTCGCATTCACGTTTTTTAATCACATTCATTCCAGGCGTTACGCCACGTTTCACGTGAGAGTTGTGGGTTGTTGGAATCATAAATACGTAAAGATAGCCGCGAAAATAGGAAGGAAGCTAAAACGTACACCGACATGAACCTGAAAATAGCCAACTCTTCTCATTTCATTTAGAAAAGGTCAAAATCCGAAGAGGTCGAAGCCAAAACGAACACCCGCATACAATCTTCGACGCTACGCGAAGCGGGGTTTATCGTGTTCAGGCTTCGTGATTGGTTCTTCGGAGCTGCCGTTATCAGCTAACGCGACAAGTTGTAAAGCATAAGCTAGGCCAATGACGGCGTCGAAAAAGAACGTCTCGACACGGACATGAAGTCACTGCAGGGCCTCAAGCGAATGTGCGAAACGCCACGATCATGATCAGCATGTCAAAGTGCAGGCTCTAATTCGCTTTGATATATATTTTTTTTTATTATTATTATTATTAGCGCCGAGAGGCTGAGAGGCCGAGGGAGAAGAGGATTCAAGAGTGGACATCAGAACGTCGAGCTCTGGTTGGAATGATTAGAGTAGACATGAAGCTATACTCTGTTTCACCTTATGATCTACCGCAGGAAAGGCTATAAGCGCGAGCTCCTTGCTCTGGGGCACGTCTCGGCGGCACAAGCTCTCCTGCGTTAAGAGCAGCTGCCAACGCTATGAGCTCGCGCATCTAGCCTTCTCTGCGGTACAACATAAGGTGAAACGGAGTATATATAAAGCATAGGCGCGGGAACTTTTTGGAGTGCAATTGCACATTGTTCCAACTGTTATAATTTAAGCCATGAACAGCCTCTCGATTCCGTTTTCTTGGTGAGCACTGGCGGATTCGTTGATGTTGCAGTTGATATGACGTCTTTAAAACGTAAACATCGCAGTTCGGCATATAATTTTTCAAAATGACATCGATCGAGTGACGTTGCGTAGTGACGTGGCCAGCAGGGCAAGTTGGTATTGATTCGCTATATTGCGAAAAAAAACTTCAAGTCAAAACAACAACGAGGCAGCTCACACGACACAAGATCAACGTTTCTGTGCCAGTTGCACAGTTCCTGTTTCACCCAGCCTTTTTTTTTTTTTTGGAACGATAATGTTTTGAGAAGTTATGCTATGTGGCTTACGGCAATGTAGTCCTGATCCCTCTTGAGGAGGTCTGCGAGCGTGAGAAGGTGCTGCGCCCGCTTGGAGGCGTCCAGACTCCGCCATTTCGACTTGGCCGCAAAGGCTGCTTTGGCCGCCACAACGGCCTTGTCCACGTCGGCCTGCGAACGCCAGTGGAAACCGAGGAGATGAATCTTGATCCGTTTATTTATTTATGTATTTACGCGTATACCCGCTACGCCTTTATGCATTATGCAGGGGGGATACATAAGTAAAAACACCAAAAACGAAAACATGTATACGAGCAATGAAGAATACACGCGGTTCGCTATACAAAGAATCTTCGTAATTAATCGTGAGAAGGGTCAGCGTCGGCAACATAAACAGTAAGCTTTTTCCGGCAATATTGCAGTTAACATTGTACGAACGGTGCGGTTGCCCCGAAAGGTTCGCGAAAACATGGCAATCATTATTGCGATTGCATTAACTATCTTATGGAGCGAACCGGCCTACTCAGCTTTTGAAGCCGCACCAAACGGAACCAAAGCAAAGCCTGTATAGTCTGTACACGGTGAGTATGTAGCAGTAAATTGATTAATAAATTCCCATTGGCTCCGTTTCGCGCGTACCCCGTGGATCGCGCTCGGCCGCCGCTCTCGTGTCACGCGTTGCCGGGACTGCGGCTGATTCTGTTCCTCTCGGCGCCGAGGAACATTCCAAGCAGCACAGATTTGGCCAGTCATTGGGCAATGGCTGGGAATGATCCTTTGGCCAGTGGCCAGACAATGGCCGGTCATTGGCTGGTGACTGGCCTTTCTCTGGCCATTGACCAATGGCCATTGGCCATCAACCATCGGCCAAGCATTGACCGATGAATGCGCACTCTTTCGCCATTGTTCAAAAGAACATCGCCAGCCATTGGCCAATGCTTGGCCAAATTCCGTGCTGCTTGCATGGCGGCGCCGGAAGCATCTATATTGTCGGCGGCCGCAACTTCGGCAGTAGCCAAACGTGGCCGTCCACGCGAGTACACCGCTGACGAGCGAAGCGGAAGAACAACATTCCAGCGTTCGCATTCACAACTCATAAGAAGTGCTTGGGTCTCGTCGGTTTTATTTGGACATTTGGTTTACCAGATGATCTTTCAACTTGTGCGATTGCGTGTTATTTTTCTATAAGGCATTGTTCTAATTAACTACCATGTCTCACAACCCTCCCTTCCCCCTACTTTTTTTAAGAGCCCTTTTCCAATTTTGATATTTTAGTGTTGGGTTCGCTTTGAACTTTAACATTGAATTTCGGGTTTCTTGAAAGCTAGTAGGGCGTTCATTCACCTTACTGCCAACCTAAAAAATAAAAATTTGGTGTCTTTTTTTTTTTAATGGAATCACGCCACCCGTGACACAGAAAGTGTACTCAAACGCGACATGTGGCACCAATTTGTCAGGCCGGTTCACGCGGCGAGGTACTGGTGGGGAGAGAAGCTGCCGACAGCCATTCATTCCAGCTGCAGAAATATGGTTTTTCTGTGCAGCACAGCGGAAGGCGAAAGCACGGGCCCTATGTTGTGCTTTTTGGACTCCCACGGCGACTCGGGAGAAGGAAGTGACGTCAGCAACTCAGCAAACGCAGGTTGAATGTTGATTGGTGAGAGCCGCTGATGACGAATTTTCGCAGAAGAAACCAAAGCTCACTT